AAGGAGAAGAAGAAGGAGAAGAAGAAGGGGAAGAAGAAGGGGAAGAGGAAGGGGAAGAAGAAGGGGAAGAAGGAGAAGAGGAAGGGGAAGAAGAAGAAGGAGAAGAAGAAGGAGAAGAGGAAGGGGAAGAAGAAGGAGAAGAAGAAGGAGAAGAAGAAGGGGAAGAAGAAGGGGAAGAGGAAGGGGAAGAAGAAGGGGAAGAAGAAGGGGAAGAGGAAGGGGAAGAAGAAGGGGAAGAAGAAGGGGAAGAGGAAGGGGAAGAAGAAGGGGAAGAAGAAGGGGAAGAGGAAGGGGAAGAAGAAGGGGAAGAAGAAGGGGAAGAGGAAGGGGAAGAAGAAGGGGAAGAAGAAGGGGAAGAGGAAGGGGAAGAAGAAGGGGAAGAAGAAGGGGAAGAGGAAGGGGAAGAAGAAGGGGAAGAGGAAGGGGAAGAAGAAGGGGAAGAGGAAGGGGAAGAAGAAGGGGAAGAGGAAGGGGAAGAAGAAGGGGAAGAGGAAGGGGAAGAAGAAGGGGAAGAGGAAGGGGAAGAAGAAGGGGAAGAGGAAGGGGAAGAAGAAGGGGAAGAGGAAGGGGAAGAAGAAGGGGAAGAGGAAGGGGAAGAAGAAGGGGAAGAAGAAGGGGAAGAGGAAGGGGAAGAAGAAGGGGAAGAAGAAGGGGAAGAGGAAGGGGAAGAAGAAGGGGAAGAAGGAGAAGAGGAAGGGGAAGAAGAAGAAGGAGAAGAAGAAGGAGAAGAGGAAGGGGAAGAAGAAGGAGAAGAAGAAGGAGAAGAAGAAGGGGAAGAAGAAGGGGAATAAGAAGGGGAAGAGGAAGAAGGGGAAGAACAAGAGGAACATCACGGGTAACAACAAAGGAGCTTTGTGCAGCTCCCTGGGGAGCCCCAGGGGTAGGGAGGGGTTGGGGGGTGTGGGGGGCTCTGGGTGGGTTTGGGGGGCTCTGGGGGCTCCCATACTTGAGCTCCTGGGCGATGGCCGCGATCTGCTCCACGCGGTCCTGGTGAGCAGCCAGGTCACTCTCAAAGGCCTCGTGCTTGCGGATCAGGGCCTTGATGTCAGAGAGCGTGGCCACCTCGTAGTCCTTCTGCTTCAGCATGGCCTCCTTCCCTGGGGACAGGGATCAGAGCCACGGGATGGCTGGGCTCACGGGGACCTTCCAGACCATCTAGATCCCACCCCCTTGCCCGCAGGGACACCAGCAGGCTACAAACCTCATCCAGCCTGGCCTGGAACACTTCCAGGGATGGGGCAACCACCTCAAAGATCATCTAGATGATCCACTAGAGGGTCCTTTCCAACCCAAACCAGTCCATGATCATCCAGTCCAACTCCCTGCCCATGGCAGGAGCATCTCCCATGAGGGATCTCTTATGGAATCATGGAATGGTTTGGGTTGAAGGGACCTTAAAGATCATCAAGATCCAACCCCCCTGCTCATGGGGACACCAGCCCAGGTTGCTCCAAGTCCATCCAATCTGGCCTGGAACACTTCCAGGGATGGGGCAGCCACCTCAAAGATCACCTAGATGGTCTTGAAGGTCCCTTACAACTCAAACCAGTCCACGATTCCATGAGCTAAAGCTCATCCCACTGCCAGGGATGGGGCAGCCCCAGTTTCCCTGGGCAACCTGTTCCAGTGTGTCACCATCCTTATGGTGAAGAATTTCCTCCTCATGTCCAACCTCAGTCTTCCTCTTCCAGTTTTAATCCATCCCCCTCATCCCATCTCTCCTGCCCTTGTCCCAAGTCCCTCCCCAGCTTTCCTGGAGCCCCTTCAGGCACTGGAAGGTGCTCTGAGGTCTCCCTGGAGCCTTCTCCAAACACCCCAACTCTCCCAGCCTGTCTCCAGAGCTGCTTCAGCCCTGGGATCATTTCCATGGCTTCTTATGGACTTTCTCCAGGAGCTCCATGTCCTTCTGTTGTTGGGGCTCTAGAACTGGTCCCAGTTCTCCAGCTGTGGCCTCCCCAGGGCAGAGAAGACAGGGAGAAGAACCTTCCTAACCTTCTGGCCACACTCTTCCTTTGGCACCCCAGGATTCCATTGGCCTTCTTGGCCACCAGCACCCACTCCTGGCTCATGGATTGTTTCCTGTCCACCTGGACTCCCAGATCCTTCTCCAAAAAGCTGCTCTCCAGCAGGTCCACCCCCAACCTGCCCAGCTCTCCAGCTTGTGGACAAGGGGCCAAGAGCTCCCACCTCCCCAGGGCTGCCAACACTCCATGTCCCCCAGCATGGGAGAGGCACCAAGTCCTCCTCACCTTGCTGGAGGCCACCCTGGTGATGCCTGGGAAGAGGGAACCAAGGGAAGAATTCCTGGTGGAGCCTTTAATGGACTCCAGCTTCTTCCTGGGGCCTCTGTCACTGTTGGGGACCCACCTCTGACCCCTGTCCTTGTCCCCTCAGCCCAGAAGGTGTGTGTCCCCCGGGTACCTTCAGTCCAGGCCTCATGGATGGAGGCTTTTTGCCTGAACTTCTCAGCCAGGTGGTCCAGCCGCTCCAGGCGCCGGATCTCGTTCAGCAGCCACTCCTCGTAGCCCTTCTCTGCCTGCTCCAGGTGCTGCCACCCCGTGTTGATGTCCTTGGGGACAGGTGGGGACACTCAGGGGACAGCCCGGGGTGGCCACTGCTGGGGGGGGGATCTGCTCCCCCAGCCACCCCAGTATCACCCGTCCACCCTCACCAAGTCCCCTCTTCCTCATGCTGGGGATAATGGGGACTTCCTGGTCCCCAAACTGGTGGCAGTGGGGTCCCCAAACTGGTGGCAGTGGGGTCCCCAGGTCCCCAGACTGGTGGCAATGGAGTCCTCTGATCCCCAGACTGGTGGCAGCGGGGGCCCCCCAGTCCCCTCG